AAAAATGTTTGTGTTAAGTATTTTCCCGCAAACACCACCTCAAAGCTTCAACCTATGGATCAGGGAGTAATCAGAAGTTTTAAAGTTAACTACAGAAAACAGTTGATCCGCAAACTCGTAGATGCAATTGATGAAGGAAGTACCCTTCCCAAGATAAATGTACTGGATTCTATCAGAATGACAGACCACGCATGGAGAAATGTAACACAGAAGACCATTCAAAATGGTTTTAAAAAAGCTGGGTTTAAGAATGAGCGTGAAGAAGAGATGGGGATTATTGAAGAAGAGACTGAAATTTCCGAAAAGGAAGCTGAGGAAACTTATATCACTGATGAAGAAATGATCGAAATAAATTCACAAGATTGGAATGCAATAAAATCTGGATTAAAAGTGAACATTTCCTTTAAAGAATTTTTGCAAGTGGATGACTCCTTGGCCACATGTGGAACTTTGACAGATTCGGAAATTGTCGATAATGTCAGATGCATTTCCGAAGACGAAAATGAAGTAGACGAAGAGCATATAGAAGCACCGAAAGTGACAGTAAAGGAAGCTGAAAAAGCTGTGGAACGTTTAACAAACTTTCTTGAATGTCAAGAAAACGTTGGACACGAGGGGTTCGCTGCTCTCTCCAACATTCGAAAAATTATCGAATCAAAGAAAATCCGACGTCAGAAATCATTAAAAGACTACCTATGAGGTGCGTATGACTGTTAAAAACTTTTATTAGATGTAATTAATATGTAATCATAATTAAATTCTTTACAACATAAATGATTTAAAGTTTCTTTTAATTAAACATTGCTGCTCGAATTTCATTTTTTAAACTTACCTGTATATCTCGAAACCTCTCTATCTCAAATTTTTTTCCCTTTCCCGCGAGATTCGAGATAGGCAGGTTCGACTGTATTTACAAACACTAGATTGTGAATCATTTAAATAGTTGGAAACTTATTCTTGATTTTTACATTTTAAGTAGTAGTACACATTATCTAGTAATAATCTAGTAGTTTATTAGTAGCACCACATTATCTAGTAGTAGGCCAAAAATATGAGGTATTCTTGTTTCTTGATTAACTTGTAAATTTAAAAAAGGTTCTCTGTGGATGCCTAGGTACTATCTCAGTATATAATTTCGAATGCACATGTCCAAATAGATGAAGTGAATGAGTTAATCACTGGATCTTTCCTTAATTTACTTTTTAAGATTTTAACCAGTTTTTATTGGTTTAATAGTATGGAAATGAAGACAGTCTGAAAAATTCAGTATCAGGTTTTATTGGCTCTGAAAATTAGGATCTCTTCACAGGCTTCTACGCATTTAAATCTTGTTAAGAAAAGTGTGTTAAAGAAAATATTACTTATTTTGATCAAATAAACAGCTTCTAAAAAAAGATCTGCAGTTTTGTTTAGTTACTAAAAAATCAGATGTTTGTACACTTTAAACTAATAGTACTCATAATCTTTAACTTTTATGGATCAATTATGCAAAATGAGCTAAATTGAAATGTGTAATTTTAGTATTGTGCCAAACCATTACCAAACCTGTTATGTTGCTTTGCAATATCAGTCTATGTCAATATCGATGTAAATATCTGGCTTGCAGTATAACTTCCTTCATTGTCTTGCTGTTTCATGCTTGTGTGGCGTTATTATTTGTTAAGTAATACTTTAAGAAATTTGTTACTAGACTCAAAACTAGACACAGGTTTTTTTAGTCCCAGGTTGAAATTTATTGCAAATTGTTTTCTCTAAGCACAAAATGTGTAATTTTTATATTTTGTAAGACATTTGAAGAAGCCTTTCTTAAATGGTTTATTACTTGAAATATCAATTTTCATAAACATACTAAGTTTACAACTTCCCATTATTATATTGGTGCATGTTTTTGCTGAAAACTGTACTTTTACTATCTTATATTATTATTTATTTAAGTTGTGGTGAAACCAATTGGGAATTTTTTTTTGCAGAACTTTTGAAATATTTTTAAATAAAATACTGAGCAGATTTTTTTTACATAATACATTAAGTTAAAAAAAACAACAAAAAACCTTAAACTTTTTGCAAATAATTTCAACTGGGCTTTCATTTGACCCAGGTCCAAATTATCTCTTTCTTCCTCTCCTTGAATGGAGCCCTGGCAATTTCACTGTGAAAATAGTGTGATAAGCTGATTAAATTCTAAAAAACAATCTGAACTGAATCTTTTGGTTAACAGATGTTTTGGGATGATCAAATTTGATTAAAAAATGTCTAAAATTTTATTAGTTTGCTATAGCCTCTTATCGATTATTTTATTTTAAAATTTTAATAATAATTATCCATAAATTTTAAGTTAAAAGTTTACGGCATGGTCGCATGTACATGAAAATTAGTCTGTTACACATTGAAGAATGTCTACAAATCTGGCTCTTTGTCTCGGTACATTCTATGGGCACACCTTTTTCGTTTCTTAAATATTGAAAAAAGGAAAGGATATCTGGTCCCTTGGAAGGTTTATGAAAAAAATGTAAAACTGTGTAGTTAATCAGTTGTTTGTGATATTCTCAATGCCTTTAAACTTCTATTTCAAGTTTAACACTATTTGTTTGTACATGTGCCCTCTCCGTAAGATTAATTATTGCCCTGAATTATTTTAAGCTTATATTTAACATTATACTTGTTTTTCAAAGGTCTGTTCAGATGAGGCTATATAGCATGCACAAACGTGAGTTTGTTCTGGTCATATCTGCATTCTTTGCAAGCTTTGGACTTTTTTTATTTTTTGGACTTGCAGGACCTCCTATCACTAACACTGTCACTATTAATGCTACTAAACTTACTCCAAAACTTAATAACTCTCAAATGGCTGTAAGTGTTTCATGGACTACTTTGTGATTGTGCTAAATTGTATAGAATTTAATGCATGGTTGTTTCTCTTTAATATTTTAATTAAAGCAGCTTTTTTAATCCTTTTTAATTTAAATTAAATGTTATTCCTTTTCTTTTCTTTTTTTAATTTTAAAATCATTTAAAAAATGCTTTAAATTCATATTTTGGCAGACTTTATGTTTTAAATATAAGTTTTCAAATAGCTGTGTGAATATTTTTTGAAATTGTTACTGCTCAAAGCTTAACTACCCATAACTTATTTGTACTTAATTATTTCTAGACTGGACCTTTTTTACTTCGTTCCCCTGCATTATCAACATTTAGCCAGCAACTTTGGGTGATTTCAAGAGTTATTCTGAAGCAAGGCGATGGTATTTAAATTATTTTTGTACATGATTTAATTATACAATTTAAAACCATGAGTTCAGTTTTATTAATGAAGTATTAATTAAGGAATATTTATGTCTTTATTAAATAACAAATGTATTAAGGAATATGTAAATATGTATTACTTTTACTACAAAGGGGAAACATAATTCATTAGTTATTTTAAATTTAATATTCATTGCTCTTATAGAATCATTTTTTGATTCTAATATTAAAAAAATTATAATGTAATAAATATGTAGTCTTTTCTGAAAAAATTTGTGTTAGTTTTTGAAATTTTTAAACTGTATGATTTTTTGTGCTTATATTAAAATAATTTTTTTAACGAATAGGTAAGAAACAGGAATCTTCATGTGTCTTTATTTAAAATTAAAATATATGCAAAAAATAATATTTCAGGAACTATTGTATTTACAATTTCTATTTACATTGCAATGATCTACAAATACCAGTTGCTATAGTTTCTAAACAATCGTAACTGGTGCCCAATATTTTAGAAAAATTTAATTAGTTTTTTTCGTTTTTTTTCTGAAAAATCTGGATCATTTCAGGGAAAAAGTATTTTTCTCGACATAACATCCAACCAGAACATTTTTAAAAGCCCTTTACTATGAATCATATTAAATTAAAAATACTAAATTTCTATGTAATTTTGTTGAGGCTCTTCAGTACGGTTAAGGTGGCCAGTGCTCACTGCTGACCTCATTGCTATGCTATCACCATGTCCTAATCACAAAATTTTGGAGTTTTAACCTCTTCAACTCTGCTGAGTCATAACAGATTGTGGTGGGATTTTTAATGATTAGTATATTGTATCTACCTTGAAAATAAATCAAATCTTAAACTAATCACAAAATTTTAAGGAGCAAGCTGCAGCTTTATCAAAGCTTGTGTTCCAATGAGTTTGTAACAGTCTCTCTTGTAACAGTTTTATCCCCTTTTTTTGATCTATTATAAGAACATGTTTTTATTTAGCCATATGAATGACAGAAAAAACATGGGGCAGATGATAATTTGATTTTGGAGATTAAATTATTTTTCTTTTAACTTTTTATATTAGTAAGATTTTATGTAAATTCATATTTAGGGACAAAGAAAAATTAAGTACGAGTAGAAAATAAGTTTTTGTTTCTGATATAAATTCTCTATTGCTCATGTATATATGATGCAGAGTTTACAGATGACATTTCATCAAAAAAAAAATTTTATGATTAAAAATGAATATTTTGATATTGTTGAAGTTTAAAAATGTAGAGTTAAAGAAAGGTAAAAATGTGGATAAAAAATTCATTGCATTGTTCAAAATGAAATGAAAATGCCCATTCAGAAAGCATACATCCTCATTTTTGTAGAACTGTTATTATTTCATTTCTATGTATTATATTTTGCCTAATTCTGTCACTTATCAATTATAAAAAATAATATTCAGTTATAACATCTATTTTTATGGATATGTATGTATCTGTTTAATGTTTTTTAAAAAAATAGAATTTACTCAGTTGATAAAAATTAATTACCTAAACTTGTTTTGTCTCTATCTCTGTACGCGTGTAGTAAAAAATAGTCAATTGCATACTTATAAAATGCATATAATAGTTAAAAAGAATTAATCTATTTCAAATCTTTAATTTAAAATTCTTATTTCAATTTTTTTTCTAATTCTTACTTGCTGCAAAATTAATGAACTGTGTTTTTCATTTACTTTTTTAGATGAAAGATTTAACAAGCCATTCCATGTGTCAGTATCTATTCATGGCATTTCTGATCAAAATAAAATTATTGTTGTTTTAAGTGAGCAGCAGAGTCATAATCGAACTCGAGAATTACATTGTTTAGAAAGTGTAAGTGAAGTTGATTGCAATAAATGGCTTTGTTTTTAAAAACCGTTGCATTATTTTTTTAAAGTTAAATAAATTTTATCTTTTGTTTGTTTTCAATTTCAGGCTTGTGAAGAATTTACAGTTCTGCATCTTGGTTTTCTTGATTTTGCTCACTATATTATAACGATTAATTTTTATGGTCTTGAAAGAATTGAAGAAAACTATCATATTAAAGATGTAATTTTTTATGTAAGTACTGTAACTGTTGCTTTTTGAACTAATTGATGATTTTCAGAAATTGTGACATTAAAAAGTGTAAGACATGGTTTATAAAATGCTTTTTGAATAAGAGAAATAGCATTATCTATGAAATGAATTAATTCAGTTTTTACTATCATGACACATAATTTAATTAACTCTTAATTTATATTTCATAAAGCAACTAATTATGTTATTTAAATCAGCATAAAAAATATTGAAAATGCATTTTAAGGAAAAAAAATATGACAAAATGTTAAAGAATACTGTATAAACCTAATTAATCTGAAACATTATTATTATTTTTTCATTAACCTTTTAAGGGATTTTTAATGATAAATTTTAAAATAATCTATTAAATATAAAAAGAGTGAAGGTCATTAATGATGACTAATAAAAATAATTTACTTTTAAGCTGAATTGGATCTTCATCTGTTCTTATGAAAATGTATCTTATTGATCTTTCACCGTTTGTCTGAAAATATATAATTTTTCGTATCAATATAAGAATAAAGAGTCAGACAAATTCTTTTGGTATTCAGTTTAGCAATATTTATGTTAAAGGACAATAATTTCAAGAAACTTTTTTTTTTAGTAAATTGTAAAAATATTAAAAACTTTATAACAAAGTATATTGTACATTTCTAGAAAATCTGAACTCTTAAGCTTCATATTGTATTAAAAATTTATTTTAAGTATCTGAGTATAGGAAAATGAGGTCAGAAGTGATATTTCACACATTTAAATTGAGCTCTTAATTGCAAATTTTATGAATAAATTTCATGATTTAAAAGGTGTAATAGGAAGGCTTTAACAATTCGAAAAAATTCTTACAAAAATAATAATATTAATAAATCAAAAGAGCATAAATGTCCCACTTTCTTGAGAATGGCATCTATATATAAATATATCTTTCTAAAACTTTTTTCTGATGTTTTATTTGCAGTTCAAGACATATAACCCATCTTTCACGAAAATTGAAATTTGGTTTCGATGTGTTTTTATTGTTATGGCTTTTGGAACAACTGTAAGTGTGTTGTTTCATAAATTTTTTTTTAAAATTACATTAATTTTTACTGTTTTTATTTTAATCAGTGATTCCTTTCTGTAGTGCTGGTTTGCATATTCTTTAAGATTCTTTTGTTTCTTTGACTGGTCTATTGAGCAAAAGTGGATATCCCTTCTCTTACCTTTATTAGTATTGCATAATGGTAAGCTATTGAAAAATTTAAATATAAATTCTCTTTAGTTGTTTTTCTTTGTTCAAAAACTTTTTAAATTTGATAGTATCCATAATAAGGAAAGTTGTGTGTCAAACTATAGCAAAATGTTTTAAAAAAAGAACTATGTTTCAAATTTTGTTTTTTTGTGATAAAATATTTTTGTGCATTTTAAACTAATCTTAAAAAATAAATTAAAATGTATGTAGGGTAAAGATTGTGAATTAGTTTTAATGTATATATTTAAGGTAAATTATTTATTACCAAAGGATAAATTATTAATGGTAATTATATGGTAAAGTATTTACTACCAAAAATACCATAATTTAAGTGAAATCGTTTGCCTCGATGTGAATAAAATAAATTCTCAATATCTATCCTGCATTTGAGATTATACTTCTGTTTTAAAAAACTAATTATTATTTATTTTTTTGCAATTTTTTAGATAATTTATATGCTATGCAAATTATAAAAAAATTAGTTTCAAATGCTTATATAATTTAAAAAATATTATTATAAAAAGAGTTACCTCTTTTATTTTACTGTAAAAAAATTAAACTGTTTTTAAAATTTTTTTATAGCATAGTGATTATTTTTATTATCCATGATAGGTTCTGTAAGTTCTCTTAAATATTATTCTAAAATATGGATTTTTGGCTATTTCTTTTTTATCATATATTTGTTTTAGAGAAACTTTTACTTTAGTTCTAAATAGGAAATGATGCATATGCAGCTTTGTATTTTTCATGAAACTTACTTATTTTAATATAATGAATATTGTAGCACATAATTATTGTTCCTAAAATTTAGATTAACCCTCTTAGGTTTTTAAGCATTTCATAAAAAATTGTCTTAAAATTAGCTAATGAATGATGCAGTTTTTATTTTTATTTTGCTTTAATTAAAAATACTTATTCTTTGCTTTGATAATATAATAAAAGAATCATAGCAATTTTTATTAATGTTATAGTGAAATAGTTTTGAAATATAAGATTCTAGACTTCTTGCTTAACACTAATAGCTGCTATTGTGTTAAACGGAGAGTATAGTAATTATTTCAAACTATATGAACTTTCAGCTAATTATTACTATGCTTTCAATTAATCATTGGAAAACTTGCTTGTTACTGATAAATTATTAATTTCCATCTTTAATATGTTAATTCTCTACAATAATTTATTTAACAATTACTCTGGCATCCTAATAGAAATTTTTTTACGTCATAATTGTTAGTTTTTTAATGTATCTTTGTTTAACATTTTAATGTGTCAAAGACTTTCTAATGATTCAAAAAATATTGAAAACCTTATAAAGTACGATTGTTAACTCTCTGCTAAAAATAATTATAAAATAGGCCAGTCTATTTATTTTTAGTTGTTTTTTTCTAGGAAATGTAAAGCATATTGTACGAAATGTAAAGCATATTGTAATATTAGCTCGCTTTTTAAATTAATTTTTGTATTTTGGTTTTGAAATACTTAAATTTCAATTGCAGCACATTTTTATTTACCGAAAATTGTTTTGTAATATGTTAAGAAAATTTTTGAAGTTTTCCAAAAAAAAAAAGAATTATTATTTGAATAATTATGTGAATGTATAATTTCTTTTTAATATGATAGAAAAAAATATTTTTTTCGCATCACAACTTTTCTTATTTGTGCATTTCTACTGCTTCATCAATAACAAGAGATATTACATGTTAACCCAGAAGTAGAAAGTGCCTAAAACTGTGACGTACGTTGCAGAAAAAACGAAGTCCTGCAGAACAATTTGTATCTTCAATAAGTGACAGCGTTTTCCTGCGAAACCCCCCCCCCCTGTTTCTAAAAGTCAAAATGCTTTCGATGGAAATGAATAAGTTGTTGGAACAACAGACCAGCGAATGTTTTTGTTTGCACATGGTGCACCATCTGGGCACTTCGATTTTTAAGGCAGCCCTCATTTTAATGTTCAAACCTTCATATCATAGGCATTTTATTAATAATTCATCATCATCATTAACAAAATTTTGTACTTCAAAAGTGATTGAAAAAGTAACAAATCAAGAATGCTTGCCTAGGTTTAAAAAATAATGTAGTGTATCTGTGTATGATCCTGTATTTTAATAAATGAAAATATAGTATTTTAACGTAAAGTTGACTTTTTTCGTTGTGAAATACTTGCAGAACATATGTATAAATTAATAAGTCCTGTTGCAGAACATTTGAAAATATTCTGCTTATGGGCATGTTAATACAAAATAATACTTTGTTTCTGCTTTTAGATCCCATCTTTCCCATGTCATTTCTTGTCAATAGTTGGGTGCCTGGTATGTTAGATGCCATGTTTCAAGCTACATTTTTATGTGCCCTACTTTTATTTTGGCTTTGTATATATCATGGAATACGGCAGGTAATTATCTTAAAATTGTATCAAATTTAAATAATATTGTCAATTGGCAATTTTTTGTGATCAATGTCATTTCACAGTCAGATATTTATGTCATGTTGCTACCTATCTTATCATTGCGGCAATTACAATTGTACTAGTCAAAAATAAGAATAAATAAATTAATAAAAACTTTCTTTTGTTTAACATTTAATGGGAGGATGGTGCTAATATTATGGTATAATATTTTCCTAATATTTAAAAAAGAAATTGAATTTGATTAACAGTTAAAGGAGAATCATACATATGACCACAGAATTTAAAATCTTAACAAACATTTTAGTGAAATCACTATTACATACACAGAAAAAACGACCAGATGGCCACATATCAGATCAACTATTGATCAAATCCATTCAAAAAGAAGACAAAATTTAGGAAACCCAAACAGTATATTTATGTCTTCTGTTTAGGGATTTCAAAGCAGAATAAATGGAGCAATTTTTTTTGTAATATTATACTTGGAAATACTTGAGAGACTGGTGAATCTTCATACAATGTCAGTTAGTGGAGTTAAAATGCAGAGATAAATTGGACATTTTAAAGAAAATCTTTTATTAAACAGTGATTTTTCTTTTTCTCTTATCTTGAACAATTTGATTGCTTTTTCAATTATTTTAGCTGAAACCTTTGAATTTTTATTTTTAGAATGAAAGAAGTTTTACAAAGTTTTATTTGCCTAAATGCATTATAATAGGCATGCTTTGGCTCTCGGCATTCACTTTGGCATCTTGGCAAAAATTCAATGAATTGAGAGACCCTACTTACAATTATAAAGTAGACACTGGACACTTTATGGTTGGTATTTCTAACATTTTCATTCTTCTTATGAAAATTTGAACTTGAAATGTCTAAAGAATAACATAACATTACATTAATTTTCTCTCTTTTAGGGGTTCAAAACTTTTTTCTTCATTGTTGGATGTATTTATTTGATATATTTGTGTTTTTTAATTATAAGAGCTTATACTGAACTCCGATCTATGCCATTCTTTGGTAAGTTAGTTTTATTTGGAATATTTCATTCAAGTGATAAAATAAAATTAATATTTTTTAATCATTCATAAAAAAGTTATGTAACAATTCAGTAAAAATTTTTTTTTTAACATAAATGATATAAAATATTTTTTCCTTTATTTTGTGTAAATAATAGATATCTTCATAAAGTATTAAAAAATATAGATTATTAATTGGATACTACCTGTTCTTTTCGTTTCTTTATGAAGTCATTGTTTTAGGTGCATAGAAATCATTAAAGAATTTCAATTCTATATGTTAAAAAGCGTCACACTTTTTTTAAAAAGTGCAGTAAAATAACAACACTTTCCGACCTAACTTATAGAGCCCCCTGCTGTAGTAGTAAACTTGATTACTAAATAAATCATCATTAGAAAACTATCACAAACGGGTTGGTCGCTATGGCCTCCGGCCCCACGCCAACCAACCAAAATCACCATAGTGATATTTTTCCTTCACTTGTTGCTGAGGGTGGCAACGGGTGACTGAGAGGGGGCCATGTGTTTTAAAATGTAACCAAGTAGTGTGTGTTTAAAAGGGAGATTAAAAAAACTATCTCCTACAATTGTACCATGAATAAATTGTGTTTTAACATTTTTAATAAAGTCTTATAACTGAAGCTTTTAAAAGTGTTATAAAACTTAATTACTAATGATGATTTCATCAACTTCTTTTATTATTTTTAATAGAATTTATGAAATTCACTGCAATTGTTTGACTACTTGTTTTATTTTAATTATTTAAAGCGCTTAAGTATTTTTTTATAAAGATTTTGAGTGTAAAGAAGAAATTTTTTTTTTCTAGGCACCTAAAGCATAGTACAAATTGAATTAAATATTTTAATTTCTCTTTACTTTTTTATGTTAAACATAATACAGTAGGAACCGATTATCCGAAACGATCGGGACCATCGCTATTCCGGATAACTGATTTTTCCGGTTTTCTGAATCACTACAAGAAGCCTTTTTTTTATTGTTAAACCCAACTAAAAAAATATTTGAAAATAATCTTAAAAAGAAGAAAAAACGATGAAGTAATACACTAATGATTATTTCCAAAATGATGGTAAGATAAACATCTTAAAAAGAAGAAAGAAAAATTCTAAAATCTTATGAGGAAAAAAACATTTTTTTAAAAAAAAATGGCAGGGAAATTTATGGAATTTCGTTCCGGTTTTTTGGTTTTCCGGTTTTCTGATTTCCGGATAACGGGTTCTGTACTGTACATAATTATCAATTTACATTACTAATCTTATTACTCTAATCGAAAAGTAAATACAGATAAGTGTTTTTATTAATAATTATATATATATATATCAGAACTTTCTCTTTGATTGAACCTGAACCTTTCAGGGATATCAGATTTCACATTTATCTAGTTTTTTCAATTTATATTTTTTATTTATGTTTCTGTTTATGCATTTAGAGAATATTCATATCAGTGATTAATTTCTATCAATGATTCATATCAGTTATTGATTTCTGTAGATAAGCTTCTTATTCTTTTAATTTTTTTCAATTGCCTTTTTACAAATGTATTGAAAATATTCAATTTTTTTTAAATATAAAATTATTACTACATATTTAAGTAAGATTTTAGTTCTACTTGAAATGTTTATGACAGATGGAAATTGTTGGCAAAATTTAAAAATTCTTAAGTTTTTCTATTATTATTAATTTATTACTTATTTTCAATATTTTTTTTCCAAAATTTTTTAGTTTTCTTTTAAAATGGAGGCTGAATAGCTGCTCTTTGTATAGGGTTAAAAAAAAGAAATTATAAATCAAGACTGAACAACACTAAAAAATCACGTATAAAATTCAAAGTCATATAGCAACACAATTAATCAAACTGAAATGATCCCATTTTTTTAAAATTTAATATCATACTTAATTCTTACCAGTGGCTTTATTTTGTTAGATTGAACAAAACATGTTTTTAGTAGTTCATCCCATCAAAATAAAGATTAACTGTATTAAGCTGACATGATGCTTTTGCTGAGGTCAATAATTTACCACAATAAAGCAATTTTCTTCAGTAAATATCTTTTTCAAGGCTGTGTAATAAATCTCTCTCTACAGTATTTATGATAAAACTGTGCAGCATTGATGCAGTTTTAACAGGTACCATATAAACTAATATAATTATAAATTGTCCCTATAGTAGTATATTCGGAATCTAATAAAACTGTTTCAATTAACCATAGTACCTGAAATGCTGATTACCAAAGCCAATTAAGCTTCATTGGCTTCAATAAGAGTATAACGATTATATAGGCTCCTCTTAAATGGATTATTTCCATTTCTCCATTAATTTTGCTATTTAGCATTTTTTATTTAAATTGGTAACAAAAGAAAAAACTTATTAAGCATCATTTTATTTTATTTTATAATCGTCTTTTAACAGCCTTTAACTATTTTGGGTTTACGACTACTAATGTTCAACTTTGTAACTTTGTAATTTTCAAACCCAATACAGAAGACAAAGTATTAAACACCATTGGTGTCAATAATTGTATAGAGATTTTTTATGTTTCTCCTAATTTATTTGTACCATTTCTCGATTGATTTTGCTTTTTAGTGCATAGCTTTTTTTTTTAAAATTTAAAGTAGCACCTCTTACCGAAATTAATCGAGCATCGTTAGCGTCAATTATAGTATATGACAAATTTTGGTATTTCTTCTAAAAAAATTAGTTTTGTTTATTCATTCATTTTGTTTTTCAGTACATTACTTATTTTTATTTCAAAAGCTGTTGATATTAAATTATTTAATTTCACCTTTTTGAAGCATAACTGTAAACAAAATAATCATGGGTTTTATATGACTTTGGGAATACTGATTTGGTGTTGTAGTCTGTTTATGTCACCAAGTACACGTTAATCATTGAGTTTATCTGGCATAACAAATAAAAATAATTTGATCTTAAATAGCATGCAAAAAACTCTTTTATTTTTATTGATGCGAGCTATAAGCAAGTAAACATCATTGATGTTATCATTAAAATATTTGATAAAACAGTATTGTGTGCATTTTAATTAATTTGAATGACCGTTCTAACCCAATAAGAAAGTACCATTTTTTAACCGTCTCTTGATAACAATTTAACTGAAATTTAACGACATCTAGGATTGGGGACCAAAATTATCCCTTTCATCCACTGTCTAAATTTCAGGACACTAGCAAAAATGGTTTTGAAGTTATAAAAGCGACAGGCATGCAGACAAACTCTTCATTTTATTATTGTAGATCATGCCAGATTTATTTTGCATCAAATAAAAAAATTCAAAAACTGTCTCATTTTAATAAAATTAGCAACCCTCAAAGCAAATCCTGTAGAAAAAGAAAAGAAAATATTTTTCAGCAATGAATTTTAAGTAGGCCAAAATCATGAAGACAAAGCTATTTTAACGCATAGAAAGTCACAGTTGTTGAAAGCCACTTTTCAACCTGCATTCTTCCCCACATAGCTAAACCATATTTATTTAGTTATTAAATAGGGAATGTGTATAGTGGAAAAATCTTCTTTCGAATTGCTTATTTTCAAAACCACCAAAAGGTTAAGTTTTGTGACAAAATAATTTTCACATTCTTAAATAGAATATTGAAGAAAAATATAGTGATATTTTAACTATATTAATTTGTTTGGATACTAAAATATCAAAATGTAAAATTTTTCTAAATTTTTGTAAAAATTTGTTCAAGTAGCACTTAAACCTTTACCCTTTTGGCACCAAAATTGAACTCTGTTAGTTCTACAACTAATGTCTTTTTTTTGTGTCAAAAAGAATTTGGCAGAGAAATTTTTATGCGAATTTGTCGAATACCAAATCACCTCAAGAGTTAAACTTGTTTTTGACAGCTTAAATTTGCTATTGATGCTTCTGTTATCAACAAAACCCTTCTCCAAATCAGTTTTATAAAGTTCTAGAGTTTATTTTATCTGTATATTTATTTGTAAATTTGTTTCTTTTATTTTCAATATAGCAGAGATTAACATTATGTTACTTAACCTGAATATTTCTTTTTTTTCAGATGTTAGGTTAAAGTTCCTTACTGTTCTCATGGTGATTGTTCTTTCACTAAGTATAACAATTACAGTTCTAAGGTTTGGTGTTTCTGTGCTACAAGATAATTTTGTTGCTGAATTATCTACAAATTATGGAAGTTCTGCTGAATTCATGTCCTTTTACAGTCTACTGAATTTTTATTTAATAACTATGGCATATGTTTATGCCCCTCCAAAAAGGGCGTGTTATGGTATGGCTCTCTAAATTCATATAGTGTAATTTGTATGACTTTTTTTTATTATGTTCTGATATAGTAATTTTTTTTAAAAATTAAGAAATTTTTAATTAAAAAAAAGTAAGAGATTTGTAATGTTTACATAATACAGCAGAGAGCATTACAGATTGTTCTAAAAATTTTATTTGAAACTGATATAAAGGAAAAACAGTGTAATTTGCATTGGCATGCATATGGATGTTGGATGAATCAAGATTTTGCAAATTTTAAATGCTTTTTTTTCTTAAAGCAATGTTTTTTATACCTTAGAAGCATAATTACCTGCTTAATTTTCATCCAATTGGCTTGAAGTTTTAACTCTAGGTTTTAACTATGTTTTCTAATTTCCATTGTTAGTAGGATTTTTTAATTGCATTTATTCTGATTAGTTAACGACTAATTCATGATTTGTATTGCTATTGTTTTAGGCCTTCTAATAATAATTTTTTATTATTGGTGCTTAATTATAATTAAATTAATGTTTGGGCACACTAGTTGTTGTAAAAATGTGTTTTTTTATCAATGTGACATAATTAGTTTTAGTTTTTCCTTTTTTTTAAAGAAATATTTAATTTTAAGTGATAAAAATGTTTAGTTTTCAATTAACCAATGAAAATGTATACTGAACTATACAAATATAATTGAATGTGATATTTTTCTTTATAACAATAATAATAATAACACATACACTCTTATTATTTCTTTGTAAGTATCAATAAGTTTGATACTTTCATAGTTTTGGTTATAAAATATACTTTATTCAAACATATAAAATATCCTTTTTCAAATACATAGTTTTAATGTACAACTCCAATTTTCCGAACTGAAATGAATCAAATCAGCTTTGAAAGCAAAGTTGAATTCTTGTATAACATGATCTGAAACTATAATTAAATTCTAAAAGCAGCTCTTTTTTGCTAGCTACTTTAAAATACACAAATTACTTGTTTTTCGATTGCTTTTGCTGTGAACTAATATTTTATAATTTACTGTGAAACTTCATTGAGTGTAGACAGTTTATTTAGACTTTTTTTGCATTACTACACGTTTTAGATGTTTCTTTTCCCGTAAAGCAATGTAAAACTCAACTGTTGGAAGGATATGAGTAGCAAGAAAGAATATTTGAGCTTTAACATACATCTTTATTAACTTTTCATGTTAAAGTAATGATTCTGAATCACTCTACTCTGAAAAATATTTTGACATATCTGACATACCAGTTCTTTGCTGATTAAATTAGAATTTATTGAGGATTTTTTATTAGGATTTAGATAATTTTTTTGCATATTTCACTTAAAAAACGATTTTTTTATGATAATTTAAATTAATATTAAGCAATACTTTTCAGAAACTAAAAGAATAAATCTTACAATATTGAATTACCAATCAAATACTACTATTAATACTATTTAAGATTTTGAGAAAAATTAAAACAAACAAATAAATTAAGAAATTAGTAATTTGTCATATTCAAAATATCAAATGTATTTCAATTTACAAATGATAACTGTCTTAGCTTGATTGGAATGTGACAACTTCTTACTAATTAAATAAAAATTCCCCTCTTCCTAATCCCTTAAATATGTATTTATAATTTATATTTTTATTATTTGCAGCACAATATGTATGCTAATTTATATCATATTATGAATTTTTTAAAATAAAACTATACAAGTATTCCTTTTTTCATGCTTAATTTTGCATAAATGATTCCAAATTTTTCAGAAATAAAATTTGGTTTTTAAATTTCATGTTTATTATTTTAGAAACAAGAATTAAAGATAATCCAACGCTGTCAATGATAAATGATTCAGATGAAGATGTAATATATGCGTAAGTAAACTGCTTTTATATTGAAATTTTACTTGAGAATGTTTATTTATTTATTCAGTACAGTTTTGTTTTATGTAATTAATTTAAACAATAAAAAGCTCATAATGTAGTTTTTCACGGGACTATTGTTGTAAAATATCTCTTATCAGATCTAATAAATACATAATAAATACCTATTCTATATAATTTATTTTCCTTTTTTATCTACATTACTTTTGTTAAAGTCTTAAGATTTGACTTGGATGTGAGGAAAAGTGTTTATTGTTGAATATTTTTCTGTATTATGTGTACTATTTAATTAATGTTAAATATCATATTAATCTTTTTATGATTGTCATTTATGGCGTTTTCTTTATTTATAGTGACATAAACTGTGTTGTCATATCAGTGGTTCTCTATTAATAGTAATCAGGTAGCAGTAAAATCATAGATGTCAAAATTTATTATATGATTGAAAAAAGCAATGATTGATTGCTAGTTTTTTCCTTTCTTTTTGCACTGGCACACAAATATAATAAAACTTGGCAATGTAACTGTAGGTTTTAATGTTTACTATAATTAATATGGTTTAAGAAAGCAGGAAATACTATCTGGTTTCAAATAATATAATGTTTACCATGTGGTTTTACAAACTATTTTTTTCTCCAACTTCTAGCCTTAAAATGCTTTGTAAGAGCTATTGTCTTCTTCTTATCATTTTTTTAAAAATTCAATATGTAACAATGAAAAATAATTAATAAATTTCTTATTATCCTTATAATTTATTTTATTATATTTTCTTATAATTTATATAATATTGTCCTTACAACTCTTACAATATTGGTGGTCTTACTGAAATTATGCATTTAAAAAAAGTCATTCTATGAAATAATTAATAAATTAAGTACTTTTTTATGTGATTTGTTTCAAATTGTAGATGAAATGTTCGAAGATAGGAACAAAAGACATATTTATAGATCCATCTCTAAGTAATAAATTTTATAGAAAGGAAATATTATAGAAATGAAATAATATGTAATTATTAGAAGTAGATAAAGTTATATTATCTAAAGTTATTTAAGCCTTTAGCTTCTAAAATTTTCACAGAACATTTTTGTTAAAAAATTATACCATTTCAGAAAAATTATACCTAATGGTTTTAATGTGCAATATTTACATTTTATTTACATTAATTTGCATTTTTACAGGTTTCTTTCAAGAAATACCTAATAGTAATTTAATTTTTAATAGGAATTTCAAGATAAATTTTATCAAATCGAAAGACGGTTGTGTAAATATTTTTTAAAGATAACTAATATTTATTAAAAAAGGCGGTTAAATAATTAATGGATGTGGAAAATTGTAAATGGAAAAAAATCATAATTTTGTGTTACAAGATTGCATCTATTTTTATTTTTTGACATATGTTTTAAATTAATTAAGAAAATTTATTGATTACCTGAGATGCTTTCTCTTTTGAATCAGAAAACTTACATTATTTTTCCAATACAATGTGAGTTTTCTCTTAATTAGCTTGTAGCGAGTATGCACACAATCGAACAAATTTTGTATTCTTGTTCATTTCATTATTATTATTATTTTTAATTTCAGCTCTGACTCTGAAAATAGGCCTCTCAATCCTATCAAGAAAAGTCCAGACAAAGAAGAAAGTGACTAATAGTAGTATGAAGTCTTTATCTTCAAAGGTCCATTAATTTAATGAATATCATCTTTGTAACACATGTGTTAATTTTAAACTTTAAAATCCTTTTTATCTGTGATTTAATTTTCACATTTTAAACCAAGAAAATTTTATCGTTTTTGTTTTGAAATTTATTTTCCCAATGATTCTATTTTTAGCTGTTAAAATGATTCTATTTTAGGATCTCTATTTTTAGAATTTAAAGTTTCATATTTTCATGACTTTATTCTCATATTTATTATATCTTCAATAACGCTACTAAAGCAAGCATTTATAAAGCTTTTATCAATGTGAATTATGATTTTTTTTGCAATTTTTAATGTTTTAGGTAATTTTTTGCATTTAGGGCAAAGGAAGTTATATCTAGTCTTTTTTTGCTGAAACATTATATTACTTAATTTTTTCACTGTTTTAATCCTATATTTTAGACATTTAATAATTGAATCTAGTCATATTTGTTTATATTGTTATTTTGTTTTTGAATGTTAACAATTGGGTACTTGCAACTTGAGAAGAAGACTATCACTGATACACAGACATGTGACCTCACATCCAGCTGATCATTTATAAACAATATAGTGTGTTAAATTTGAGTTAAGTTTCTTCACATAAGTAAGAATGTTAATTAAATACAACTCCGTATCGCTCACCGAATTTTGTTAAAATATAATTCTCGTCTACGTTTTTTACTTACTTAACTTAGATTTATTATTCCTTCATGTATTTTATTATAACCGTGATATATTTTTGTTTTGTGTACCTGGTAACTTTGACGCATAATTAGTTGGTTTTTATTCTACATGGCTTTATGCCTGTTTGTTATGTTAGAAATATGTTGAAAAAGAATTGAAATCTTGGGGAAAGATTCTTTGTGAAAGAATATAGAATGTGTCACTTAAGGTAATTGATACTTGACGAGATTGGATTACTCAAAATGAAGAATGGAAAGCACAGTTGCTTACATAAACAAATGCAACATTTCAACAACTAATCAGGATCGAAATGCCCGCACTACGTTACTTGCAGATATCCCATTGTTGTGCATTGTTTCTTCTGAATCTTATGAAATACAATTGACATTTTTATTGTTCTTTTATTTTAATTTTGTTTTTATAATGAGAGAGAAGTGTGACCCTGCCTTTTTTAATTAAGTTTGTAACTGTGATTTTTAGAATCTTAAGATTTAAACAAGTCCTATCTTTGTTTAAATATTTATTTATTTATTTCATGTTTAAATATGAGTAAATGTTTTTTTTTTGTTAATATACTTGTAAATTTATTAAACTACCATTAATTTTTTTTATTTGTTCTTCCATTTTGCTTCTAGTTTAATTTTTCACTATCTGAGTGATAAAAGTTTGACTTAGTCCCTTTTTGTTAAATGTATCGTGTAATATCATTTTTATTGTTATTGATGGATTTCCTCCTATTTTCAGCATTTCAAGTTATACAAATAATTTCTTTCGTTCAAATATTTCTTTTCACAGTTAAATGTTGCATTTTGTATTAATTTTCAATTTAACTACTATGAAATCTTAATGAAATAAAAGCTACTAGATTTTTTTACAGCACACATATTTAACCATATTTTTTCATGTTTATTTCTTTTAAAAGTCGTTTGCTTTGTTTAGAACAAATGTAAACCTCACTTTGTGCCGATTCTTTCGCTATAGAGCATTCTTGTATTGAATCTTGATGAATTTAATTAATGCAGGCTTGTTTACTTTTTGATTAAGCATGTTTAAAATTATTTATTATTTAAATAAGAACTGAATATAATGAATATATATATGATGAATGTACAGAAAACTACAAAGGCTGGGCGATTACTCGCTACCGCCTAAAAAAATTCAATAAATAAGTAAATGAATAAAAAATAACCTAAATTATTTTTAAACATAAAATTCTGAAAATTTTTGTGGCTGTTGGCTCCTAAAAATTGGTTCTGGCTATAGAAGTTTTGCAGTCTTCATTAAATTATATATACAAATAAATTTTTTTATAGAAAAAATCGATATTTTTTGTTATTATTAAATTTATGTTGTTAGAGACAAAAATGTTAGACAATCATTGAATCATTTCCTCTATTTTCTGCTTTTTGTCCTATATTTTCAACTTAATATATTTTGTGCATAGAAAAATTTACAACAAGCACTTCCGCAGTACATTTTGTCACTTTTAAATACCCATTGTTGTTACTATAATTAAGTAGGAGAATCATCTGGAAAGTATGTTTCACTTAGTACATAACAGAGAACAAAACATAATTATCTGGAGAGATTTATTGCAAAAGAAACAGCAACATTTCAGATGCTTCTCAACATAAGAACCACTGAAATTGTAACATAACAGATTGTACATAACAGAGTACAAAATATAATTATCTAGAGAGATTTATTGCAAAAGAAACAGCAATATTTCAGATGCTTCTCAACATAAGAACCACTGAAATTGTTGCATGTTCGTACGTTGGGGTAACTTATTATAGTCCACTATTATATTGGAGTATCTGTCATAGCTGACTGCCCCTGTGTGGGAAAGTGATACGTTTTCAGGAATTTCATCATGTGTAATAACAGGCTAAAATTACTGGAAGTAAGATCTGGCAGAATCACGGCGGCATTGTTACAGAATGTTATAAAGTTTTTGCTGAAAGATTTTTCTTTTGGGAAGTAAAATAACTTTAGTTTTCTTTTTTGCAGAAATTTTTGAAAGATTTTTCTTCTTCTCTGGAATTTAAAAGAGTCATTTCTTGTGCATTGGAAGAGAAAAAATAGTGATTTTTTCTATTTTCTTGTGAGAATAATGAAAAATAAAGAATAACGAAATAAAATAAAAAATTTTGCCAAAAAACAATTTCTTTAAAAATGGCAGGTGGGAAAGAAAGTGATTTTTCTATTCTCTTTTAAAAATAATGAAGAATAAAATGTTGACAAGAGACTTTTAAAAAATCTGCAGAAAAGTAAAAAATTCTTTTATAGAAATTTTTGAAATTTTTTTTCTCTGCAAAATTAGTTTCAAAAGTTGCCCTTTTCGTGCGTCAGAGAGGGATGAAATGATATTTGAGAATGAAAAAAATTGATAATGAGTGGCTTCAGTTATAATTTTAATTAGATAATATTAAAAAAAGAAATCTGAATATCATGTTCTTTCTTTCATTTTTTTAAAGAACATCATACCATTTTAATAAAATTTGATTGTGAGGGGGGGTTTTGTTACAAATTCAAATTTGTGGCAAAATAATTAATAACCCCATGTGGTACATTTCCCCCTCTTTTTTTAAATCAAGCATTTGAGTCTTAACTTTATCGCTCACAGCTCGCGCTGATTTCAACATAAATATATGCATTGTTTTGATAATTTTTTTTGGCAATTATTGCTACGAATTTTTACTTGTTTTTTTTGTGTGGAAATTTTGATGTCTTTCATTGCTCAATTATTATTTATAATTTAGTGATTTTGTAAGAAATACTGATCTTATTATGGCACTCAAAGTTAGAATGGCGGTTTCAAGAAATCTCTCTTTGACATGTTCCGTTTACGCGGATATCCTGCATGATGCATGCCGTGTTTCAATCGTTTTTTCGAGAGTTAATGCTAAGAATTTTCACATTTAAAAAAAAGAAACTAATCCCGATTCTTTTTTATACAATTGTATTACACGCGGAACTCAAATCACTTATTTGATTATTTACTTTTACTGTGACGATTTCGTCTTTTTTCCCAGCTCTTCGGCATCGTTTATTTATTTATTTTTTACTTTTTGTTGCCATAATCACTACCGATTTTCACGGAGTTTTTAAATTTCTGATTATTTCTCAGTTGATATTATGTCTGCACGTAAAATTTAATTTGTGCATTTAAATTTTTTGACAAGCTTAATTTATGCCGATAGTATCGTAAATCCATGTAATGTTTTGATTGTATTTTTGACAGTTATTGATAATGATATTCATGTGGTGTTTAAATATCCCGATATATTGCTGAAAATATGAGAAATTTTGATATTTAAATTTCACTCAATGATTCTATCGATCTTTTTGGCAGTTATTGCAATTGATTTCCACATTGATTTTAAAATCCAATATTTTAAATACAAGATTATGTATTACAACAACCGAATCTCGAAACGTAACACGCATTTAGTAACCCTTTTTTCAAGAATCCGATTCGCGCGTGATTTTGCCGTCAATCTTTCTTCTTCTTTTTTTCTGTTACAGATTTCATGATATTTAATTATTTTTTTAATGTGATGATGTCTTACGAAATGCTAAAAGGAAATATTTAATGTCCCCCCCCCTTACAAAATGCAAGAATATTGCTCCTAATAGTAGAATAAAAAAATATTACACATTCAATTAAAAAAACTGTATAAAATTTTATTTTATCCAAATAATTGTTTTTTTGTAAACACAACTCTTTCCTTACTTTAAATTAGTAACATAGTGTATATCTGTTGTTATTAAAATTATCTTGCCGAAAGACATTAGTGCTAGAGAGGTTTGTCGCAGAAAGCCTACACAATTTTGCGTCAGGGATAGGGTGGATGTTCAAACACCTTCCTGTGAGACTTTTGCTGCTTCTAGTTACCTCCATTCATTCTGCATTAGAGGAATGTTTTCTCTGGCCACTTTCCCTTAGAAGTATAAGGAACTGTAACGTGCTGGCTCCATTCCCAACGGACCCTTCACAAAATATTTTAACTTAAAAACGGACTCTTCACAAATTTGTTTATCTTCATCATTATTTTGTTAATCGAATAAATCCTTGACAGGAGGGGGGAGGAGAAAGACACACATAAACGAACTAAATTTTGTCTTCGGCAGACGCATCCTTGAAATGAATATTCTGCGTTCAGCTGTATAAGCTAAATACCAAATATTTGTATATTGCATCGCTAATTTAGTAGCTGCAATTGCTGTTTATTTTTTAAAATTTAATTTTTTTAATTATAATTTTACAGTGTTGAGCATAATCTTGTATGTCTTTACAATTTAAAAACTCCTTGGAAAAGGTTTTTGCAATAACGGACCCTATTTGCACAAATTCACATAAGCGGACCCTGGTTGAAAGAATGTGACTTAACGTTTATTTTATATTCACAAATTACGAGTAATTTTTTCACAATTTTACGAAAACGGACCTTCCACAAAATGTCTGGACAGACCCATGCCTATGATACTGGGCTATAAAAACGCATCTTACAGTATGATAAATGTTACAGTCCCGATAATTCTTATTTTGACAGTATTACAATTCTTGGAGTTCTTATGTTGAGAAGTAACTGAAATACTGGTGTGTCTTTTGCGGTAAATCCTTTTGTTCCTTATTATGGGGAACTTACTTTCTATATGACCCCATATACTTTTCATGTCAAGTAAGAAATGTGTATAGAAGTTTTATTTCATTTGAATATTTTGTAAACTATCTCTTTACTCACTTAGCAAATTTAATGTTGCATTTTCTCATTAAAGTAGCCTTACTGTAACATTTCCTGCTAGTGTATTATGCAAAAGAAAGAAAGAATGAAATAAAGTAATTTTTTTACATCTCAAAATTACTATATTTCATTTGTAAACAACGATTGTACTTATTTTATTACAATTATATGGTAAAAATGATAATGAAAATCGTTTAATACTTATTGTAAAATCCATTATTTTATATCTTAATAAACATGTTTCTTATAGAAAAGAATAGTTTCAAATTCAGGATTCTGTGTATTTGTAACAATATGACAAATAAAATATGCAACTGTCCAAAAGAAGAGAAAAAAAAGGCAACTACAAGTTTACTATTTATTTGTATCATAATATATTGTTAAATTAAAAGTGCGATTTATCAATATATTAGGTTTTATATAATTTTTTAGCGGTGCAATTATTTTCATTATTTTATTTGTTTTAATTAAATGGAATTAAAAAAAATTTGAAATATTTTTCCTATTTTTTGACCATTTATATATTACTGTAAAATTTGTTTAGGTCATAGATTTCATAATTTATAACACTTATTATTAGATACACAAAATCCTGACAAATTAAGGAAAAAAAATAATTTTCCTTTATTTTGGTAAATATAATTTTCTTCTTTCTGATAGTTTACTTTTTACGTGTATTTTTGTCTTGTCTTATTATAAATAATTAATTTAGTATAAAATGCCAAATCTACTTTTTATATTTAGTGTACTATTGAAGTTTCATTAAAATCTAAGCTATTTATAATTAGAATATAAACTATTTTTATACCTATGCAATAAATTTCCATCTATGAAATATAGAATCTGTGTGAATGAAAATTTCAATGTTATTACCTTTTGATTTTGATTATTTATTTTCCTATATTATACTCTTTGTATTATTCTTTATGTTTGTGCCAAAAATAGTCGAAGCAAAGTTATTTATAAATAAAATATTCAATAGTAGTTTTATTGTATTTAAAAAACAAAAATATTTGATGCTGATAGTATCATTTACATTGGTATATTGCAATTTTTTTTAAAAAAAGGCTTTGCATACTTAATAACTAAATTTTATGAAAATTGTGATGTAACATTAAATAATTATTATCTAATTATTTTCATGAAAATAATTGGGAAAATTTTATCTTGTTAAGAAACTTAAGTTAGCATCTGCGGGCAAAAGCGATCTCAATACTCTCCTGATCTCTTTAGTATAATCGAATTAATGAGTGAAATTTTGAATGAATTCATAAAAGAGAAGA